TGTGGGTGTGTCCTGTGATGGACTGGTGTCCTGTCCAGGGGGTGTGTGTTTGTCCTGTGATGGACTGGTGTCCAGTCAGGGTGCACTGAGCTGCAGCTCTTTCTCTCTGGGGTTGCACGTGTACTGTAACACTCAACTGTTTAATTTCATTCTTTTTTTAAACATGGTGATACGATATCCATATCTAAGCCATGATTTTCTGAAGAGGCTTTAGAAATCACACTGAGTACTTTTTAATGGCGTTTCAGTATTTATTTTTGTGTTCCTAAAGCAAGTGACTGTCATTACAATTTCACTCCTGTTTATCCAAATATTTATGACAAATACTATTATCATATTTATCACGTATGTAAGAAACTACTACAGAGTATAAAGTCAAGGCGTAGTTTTGCACACCAGATAAAGGGTGATTAGCTGTGTAGTTAGAAACTGTTGATCTTAGATTCAAAATACAACGGGCTACCTGTAAGGCCACCTGTCTTCATGTGTCTCCCAGCCACACCAACCTCCTGCTGATCCAGGACCTGTCATTAGGGGTGTTAAATGTTATCTGTGTTTCTTGTAATTAATTATAAGGGAGACTACCTCAAGGCCGGAATGACAGCCAAACTAGTCTTCTGTATTCTCATCTCAGGTAGTCTTTGACATCTTGCAAAATAATGTCTGTAAAGCCTTGTGCATGGTTTATTCTTCCAGTCTGTGTGTCCGTTCAGTACTCGTGTCCATTTGCGATGGTGTTTATTCACACCGGTAGTGTTTAAATGTCTCAATGCCGCCTTAACCACATGTAACACTGAGTGGCCTACAGTCAGGACAATACCACGCTGCCTTTCTAAAGTAGTCCTATTTTGTATTATTTTCATATACAAGTAAAAATGAAGAAATACAGCTTTTTTTTTTAAACAAATGAATTGTCATAAGCTGCTCGAACATGTAAGATGCTGCCTGGACTCTTTTCTTGCTGACTCTTTTGAATTATTGCCTCCATGGTTCATTATGTGAAGGTCTGTGTGGCCAAAATATTGGCTGAAACTGACTGGATCAGTTGTTTTGAAGGACACACCTGGCTTTGTGCTTGAATGACTTGAAAAAGAAAAGACAGGAAACATCACTGCTCCTCCAGTGTCTTTTTGGTAAAGCATGAAACATCCAACAAACTGTAATTTAGACAGATTAGACAGACAAGCACCACACACAGCAGGGTGTCGTCTAATTGTAGTTTAATTGTGTCAGCCGCTGTTTCAGATCACATTTAAAAGAAACCCTTTATTTAAAAGAAATACTGCCACCAGCAGTGACACATTTGATTTGACTCATCAGACTGGGGCGGAGCGGTGGCTCTGTGGCTCAGGATCTGTCTCTGTGGCTGGTGGGTTGCCAGTTCGTATCCTGCGGCTGGCAGAGGAATCCTACTCCACTGGGCCCCTGAGCAAGGCCCAGCAGTAACCCCAACTGCTCAAGGGGCGCTGTGCAAATGTCTGACCCTGCGGTCTGACCCCCAGCTTCTCTCCCCCTGTCTGTGTGTCTCATGGAGAGCAAGCTGGGGTCTGCGAAAAGACAAGTTCCTAATACAAGAAATTGTATATGGCCAATAAAGTGATCTATCAGATTAAGCGATTCTCCAGCTGTCTCTGTACAATGTGCCAACCAGTGTGGAGAAGTGGAGAAGGGAAATATGTAGTGTGGTTAGGTTTCAGGGCAGAAAATCGGAAGGCAGTGGAATGGCAGTTCATTTCCCCAGCCATCTCCTTCTTAAATTTTCCTGGATGAGTCATCTTTGGTGCACTTTCAAAGGACCAAGCTGTTACAAGGCCATTAAGCAGAAACAAAAACACCTACAATAGTTTTGCAGAAAGATGAGTTTTTATATTCAATAAACTGGTTTGGATAAATTGCTTTTCTGCCACTCTGACATCACTTCCTGAAGCTAGGATTTTAACACTGTTAAACGTTTTAGTATTTTGTGTCTCTGTATTTAAACATATATTCCAAGTGAGGTTGAAATTTTGTTGAACCAAGGAGCAGTACCCACAGTATTAATTTTACAAAACTACAATTTTACTACACCTTTGATTTTTTATGTTATCTTTTTTAAAGCATTGGTATGAGAGGCATGTTAGAAAATGTTTTCGTAAATGTTTATTTTTAGCAGTTTCTGTGCTCTTGTTCTGAACAATAAAGAGTGATTGATGGAGAATCCTGGTCTGCTGAGTCTGGAACCTGGCGGACAGCAGCAGTCCTCTGAGGGCCATGGGCTGCCCTCTCTGAGCCACAGCAGACACACCCAGCAGCGCAGAGAGCAGCTCCCATTCCTTCTCATCCTTTTCACGACCTGAAATGGCAATTCAGAAATACTGGTGATGACTAAAATTGCTTGGGAATAGGATTGAAATAGAATTTCTAACCTTAAGAAGGACTTTTTTGGTAGAATACCAGCTGTGATTGTAAGAATTCCTCCACCTTCATCTCCATTTCCCCCTCTGATATAGTGCCTTATGATGTGCGTCTCAGTCCAATACAGTTCTTGGTGCAGAGTGCTGTGTGGCTGTGTGGGCTGAAAGTCCTCTTGTCTGGACTTGCTGATGTTCAGATGTACGCTGACCGGCAGGGGCCTCTGTGTGGCCCTGTTGTTAAGAATGCAGTTCTCGCCGTGTGAGCTGTGTACAGGTATACACAACGCTGTAGTGCTGCATGGGGATGAGTCAGAATTCAGTGAAACCCACCGGCAAAAAAAGCAATAAAACACACTGATTAGAACCATTTTTCTTTTGCCTTTGCTACTGTCATGGCATTTGCCTTCCTTTTTTCCTTCCCTTTTACAGATTTTGTTTTAGGCTGGTAGGCCTAAAGGTGTTTGCTACATTACCACCTCGTGGACGTGCAGGGCCCTGCTCTGTTTTACTCATCAGGCTTGCCCTGGCACACGTGCCCCCTGGGCTGGGACAGTGTCGTTAGTGCACGGGCTCCCACTGGAGCACTGCGGTAATGACTGGGGTGTGCGCAGGAAGCTGTTTTCTTCTGAGTGGCCTGCTGGGACACTGCGTGACCTTGGCTCCTGGCCGGGGGTCTGTCTGGTTGGGTGTGTCCAAGGAAGCAGAGAAGTGACGGGTTAGGAGAGTTCGCTTCCATGCTTACAAGCACAAAGAATACGTCTCTTAGTGTCTGAACCTGCGTCTCCTATAATCACGTTTCTATTTTAGTTGAGTGATACATTTTACATTGCGAACCGCTGACCTGTGTCACCACATCTGCACCTACACTGCTGCAAAACCGTCTGGAAGGCTCATCCCCCTTGACTTTCGACCACTCTCGCTCACCACAGAGATGGAGGGAGCTACACCCAGCCCTACTGCTGAAGCTCATACCCTGGCTTCTTTCAAGAGACATTAGCTACTAGCACCCAAATGAGCTCAATGAACCAGTGTGAGTCTGAGCAGCTGGCCCCTGAGGCAGGGCCCCAGGTCCTGTCTGACACACGTCGTACACACAAACTGCGTTATGGCTCAGAGCGCAGGGCACGTAGTGCTGCCAATAACAGTGCAGCTCAATACGAGACAGCGCGCTGTGTGATAAACACGTCTCCGCATGTTCCAAGTAAACTGCTGCACACGTATGTAAGGATTTTACATTACCTTCAGAAGGTACCCAGTTAAGATCTGGCATAATTCTCTTGCATTTTGCCACAAGGTCAAGTGTTGCGTCATTTTAACGGGTAGCAAGTTTCTGTGGTATTTGGCACATGGGTAGCGAGGGCAAGCAGTTAAGTGCAAGTCAGTTATATATGTTTGCTTTTACAAGTTCTTTGTTGTTTTTTTTTTTTAATCCTGTGTTTAATCCTGGGGATTGAACTCAGGACCTCGCAAGGGTAGAGTGAGTTTTATCAGAGCTGCACCCTCCCCGGGAATCTCACAGCCTTGAAACTTCCAAGATCTGGCCAAGTGGCACCCCTGCCAACTCTGCAGCGTCACTAGTGCCACAGCCTGGCGGCCACTAACAGCTTTATAACTAGCCTGTGTTTCCCCAATCTGGTACACGGCAGCAAAAAAAACAGAAACTGGGAACACTTTCCATCTCTTTTAATGATGTTAAAGTACCTCTAAGCACATCTGGACAACAGGCTACAGCAGTTGTGTGTACATAACACTTTGTACTGTAGTTACTGTGGTACCATCACGATTACTATTAATGAGCCTGTAGAGGCACTTTTGAAGTCGAAGCACTTAGATTCTTTTTTAAAAAAAGCAGACCTTGCATTCCTGTTTAGGTGAAGTAAGCAATTGCTTCTTTTATTACTTCCTGAGTGCTTTACAGTATTGTTGTGTTAATTGGGCTTTAGGACATCTCTTACTATTAGATCAGCGGAAGGACAGATCTGTTGTTTTTTTCTGTGGCTCATCACAAAAAGAGCTGATACTAAATATACATGAGAAACT